GTGCCGTCTGCGGCCTTTTGGGAGCCGGGCGGGCCGCGAGGCCTGGGCAGCCCGGCCGGACCCCCCGGAGACCCGCGCACTCCCCCGGCGGCCGTGGGTTCTGCCTGAGGACCCCGGACCAGGGTCGGGCGCGGCGGGCCTGCGTCTCGGAGTCGAGCAAAGCCCCGTCCCCCAGCCATTCGGCCCTCCGGCGTGGGGTGAGCGCCCACCGTTCTGGGGTCGCGTCCCCCGCTCCTGCCCCGAACCTGCCCGCAGCCTGACACCGGGCTCCACCCCCGGCTCTCCACATCCAGCCGGCGCCAGAGCCCTGCTTCCCGAACAGCCCCCAGAGGCAGCCAGGGATCCCTAATCTGTGGTGTCCACCCCCGTCTTAGGGCTCTTCTGTGGCTCCCCATTTCCCCCAGGATGAAGTCCGAACTCCACAGCCGGGCTCACGGGGCGTGGCCTGACCAGCCCCACCCTGCTTCCTCTGGGACCCCTCCGATCACCTGTTCCTGCCAGGTCCTGCTCTAGCCGGGAGCTGTGGTGCAGGGAACGCTCTGTCGCCCCTGGGGCTTTGCCGGTGCTCTTCCCTCTGTCCCATCCCCTGTCACTCGGCCACTTCCTCTGCGCCTGTCTCCAGGCAGCGGTCCCACCCTGGCCAGCTGGGAGAGGTGCCATCACAGTCCACCCTATGTAGGTGGACTTATAGTAATGCAGTTGCATGGTCCTCATGACACCACCGGTCCACACTGGACCTGGAAGTCGGACGCCCAGTTATGTGTTTGTAGGTGGAATTGCTTGGGGTTTAGGGTGCCAAGGGTGTATGCCCAGTGAGTGAGGCATCCAGGCGTGTACTGCTCTGTCCAGCGCCCATAAGTGACACAAGGGAGGTCCCAGGTGCCTGCGGCTTGAGAGGAGACTGTCAGAGGTGGCAGACCCTGGAGGTTCTTTTCCTCCTGTGGTTTCCGCCTTTCCTCTTGGACACTTACCGTTTGCCCATTCGATCAGCAAATGGTTATTGAACAAAAGCAGATTCCATTGCTGCCCTTACTACCTTTCTAGTTTGTGTGTGTGTTTGTGTGATGGGTGGAGATCAGGTTAAGTGTGTAAATACAAACTGTAGTTTGTCCTGTGGAGACAAACCTGGAACCACGAGAGTGTGTGAGGGGTCCTGACCCGGTCTGGAGGACTCTGAGAGCGTTTGGAGAGAGACCCAAAGGCGGATGGGATGGGCAGGGATGCCGGCAAGGTTAGTGAAGGGGGTCCCCAGCAGGGGAACTGTGGCTGGAGGGAACATAGTGCAAGGGGGAGCGGGCACCAGAGGAGTGAGACTGGAGAGGTTGGCCTGGTGGGCTGTGGCAAGGGCTGTGATGTCTACCCTGAGAATAGTGGGAGGCCACTGGGACACTCGAAGAGGAGGTGGTGTGATGACTGGATTTGTGAAAAGATCTCTGGGCTGCTGGGGGGAGAAGGTCTGGAGCAGGGCGATACTGGCCAAGGGCAGACCAGCGAGAAAGGAAGGTGTGGCAGAAGTCCAGGTGAAAGGTGACAGGCAGAGACAGGTGGTGTGTGAAGGATGACAGGTGGAGCCAGCAAGCCCTGGTGAGGGATTGGGTCTGGGGGTGGAGGGAGGCGTCAAGGATGACCCTGAGTTTCTGGCTTGGTTAGTGGTTCCTTGTTCATCTGGATGTGTCCATTCATTCTCTGGGGTTGTCAGGGGCCTCCTACCTGCCCACTGGACTCAAACCGACCTTCACTGTCCCATCCAAACTCCACACCCTTCCCAGCCACCCAGCACCAGTGGGGCATCACCTGTTGCGGGTCTTGACCTGTTCGAGAATATGTTGAAGTTGACTTTTTTCCACCTTGACACTGTTGACAATGGAGCTGGATCGCTCTCTGTGGCGGGGCCGTTGTGGGCACTGCAGGTGGTGAGCAGTATCCCTGGCTTCCACCCACTCCATGCCAGGACCACCTCCGAGTTGTGACAACCACAAATGCCCCAAACATTGACGAGTGTCCCTGGAGGTGCAGAATCACCTCCATTTGGGAACCAGTGTCATACACCCTCCCTTCTGAAAAGTACTCGCCTGTGAAATTTGCATCTGCCTGGGAGTTGGGGGCCTCCTTGATGCTGTCCTTGTCCCCACTCTGGCTTTCACGGCTCTCTCCTGTCTCCTTGTGCCCCTGAATCTGGGTGGCCAGGAGGTCCCACATCTTGGGTTGAGAGGGAGCAGGTGTGTTTCTGGGCCTGAGACTGCTCTGTGGGCCTGCACCTGCGGGTACACTGTGAGTGTCCGGGGCTGCCTCTGAACCACGGCTCCCTGGCCCAGTGGTTATCAAATGCTTTGATCCCAAAGCCAAATGGGCCGAGGTGTCCTGCTGCTGAAATTGAGTTGTGAGTGTGTCTCCCTCCAGTTGTTCCAAACGTTCCTGTAAGGAAAAACGTAGTCAGTGGATACAGTGGATAGATTTTTCTCAGGCTTTGTGTTTTCTCCATGGCGTATGTTGGCAGCTCTGTACACAGCTGTGAGAGCAGCTTAGCTGTTGTCAATTTATTTATTTATTAATTTATTTATTTGGTGGCTGGCCAGTACGGGGATCAAACCCTGGACCTTGATGTTATCAGAACCGTGCTCTAACCATCTGAGCAACTGGCCAGCCCCTGTTGTCAATTTAATACACTTCCCAGTGTTCTGCAAATGTTTGAGTTTCTGCTCTGAGCCAGGCCCTTGTCCCCTACTTAACTCTCGTCTGCTCATTTACTCCCCCATGAGGTTAAGTGGTGTCTGCATCTGCAGATGAGGAAACTGAGGCCCAGGGAGGTTAAGTGGCTTGCCCAAGGCCATGGAACCCTAAGTTGGCAGCCCCAGGCTCCCCAGACCCCACCTGGCCTCGGCCTCCCCTTCCTCGCAGCAGGCCCATCCCCTGGCCTGGCCCCGAGCATAGGGAAAAGCCAGTGACCAAGCTCAGTGGCGCCTTCCGTGCAGAGCTGTATCCTGCCTTTGTTTCCAGAACCTTTGTTTGTTGTTTCCTCTGCCGGGGCTCCTCTGTCTCCAGACGTCGCAGCCCTGTGAGGCCCAGGTCCCTGAGCATGTCTGGGTTCCAGTTGCTCTGGAGGAGGCTGTCCAGCTCTCTCCTGGGTCCTTTCAGTCTGAGAATCAGTCCTTGCTCTGCTGCCTCTGTCACCTCAGAGTGGCAGATAAGTCCTTGAAGGATGGCACAGAGATGGGTCAGGGAAGAGTCTGGGCCACACTGTGAACAGGGTGGGGTGATGGGGTTTCCCTGGGCCCGGAGCAGGGGGTGTATGTGAGCACGGCTGGGGGTGGGAGGGGTCTAGGATCTGACTGCCCAGCACGCCCTGCAGGCCCGGCTGGGCTGAGATGGCATGAGTTGGTGATTGTGAGCTGAGGAAGGGTGGTGGCGTGGGGTGCTCTTGCACTCCTGTGGGGGTGGGCTGGGAGGCTCAAGGCAGAGGGTATAGCAGTCTGGGCAGGAGTGGATGAGAAATGGGGACAGACAAGATTTGGACTGATGACTCCCCACCTGGCACAGGGTGGGTCCCCGGCCTCCTGGGGTGCCTGGCCTGGACCATGGCCCGGAAGGAACCCCACATCTCAGTGTTCCCCTGCAGGGCTTCCCACTGCACGGCATGGAGACCTGTGGCTGCGAGGCTCCCAGGGGCTCAGCTCGGACCGCGATGGAGCTGGGCTGCGGCCTCCTAACGGGGCTCTCGTCTGGGGCGGTGGCCGGGGGGACGCCCTCCCTCCTGCCCGTGTCTCGGAGCATACCCGCACCTCCCCTGCCGAGTGAGGCCGGGCCCCGGAGGAGGCCCGCCCCGGGGCCCGGCGGCCGCCATGAGTGGCCTGTCGGTGAGCGAACTCTGCTGCCTCTTCTGCTGCCCTC